GGAGATAACGCGGTGCATAGCGTGCACCCAGTGTGGGCAGACCGCAGCCAGAGAACAAAACCTACACAGTGGGTACGACACCTGTGGGCATGTGAGCGCGAGTGAGGGGGCAAGTTGGCTCACGCTGCACTGACATATTGCCATGCTTAGTCACAGATATTAAAAATTACTGGAAATACAACTGGGATCCACCCAGGTTAAAAAAAAAAAAGCTAATATGCAGATGGTGAAACTCCCCCAAGACAGCACATTAAAGGGTAAATCTGGGACCTCCCAATGATTCAGTTATGATTAAGTTTCCTTCAGGGCATCATCAAGTCTCAGATTTCTGCATTATTAAATTAAATTCATTTATGAATCCTGAAATGATGCAAATCTTCATGAAGTCAAAAATATCACTACCAATCGATTCAATTCGATTCGATTAGGATTCTTTAGGAATTGATTCAGTGCATTGTGAAGTTTTAAAGTCCAACATAAATAAACTTTAATTAAATTATGTCACCAAAATATGATTGATTATGATTCGTTAGGAAACTAGTGTATGTGAAATTTCACCACAATTCACTTTGATTGATTGATTTGATTTGATTTTGGCACAGTGCAGAATTGCTGGGGATCATTGAATGCACATATGTGCTTGGCAGAACAATGTAACACAGCTTTGGAAAGATAAATACAAATAATACAAATTAAATTAAACTTACATATAATTAACATATAATACATTAACTTGTATTTTAGATGTCACATTTGAAAATAGAAAAAAAACAATATAACTGATCCTAATGTTAAAAAATCAATGCAGCTGTGTGGTCAGGTACAAGAGAAAAGCACTCCACCTGCTGGCACACCAACATGAACTTGTTTCCAGTCAGGCAGCACAGTGAGCGGTCAGCTGCGCCAGAGACATTCTGTTCCTGGGGCACAGGCCATGCACAGTACACAGCGATTCCAAATAGTAGCTCGCGCTGATGTGGGAGGAGGGAGCGAAGACTTTAAACAAATAAATAAAGTGATAGTTCCAGCCCGCAGGAATTCTTCTCTGGCAGGGTGACGGGTTTCTGCAGCGGAGGAGAACGGCTGGGGCTATCGAACCCAGATGTGCTTGCATTCTCCAGAAAGACTACGCCTAGGACAAACATGCATCCACGCAAAAACCACCTGGTGAGTGACCTCATGAGAGTTCGGAGGCAAATCCATATGACTGAGCAGAAAGTTATGTCACACGCTTTGTGGAAAAGCTTTGCTGCATAGTTCCCACCAAAGCACATGCTTTTGAGACTTATCGTCAGCCTCATAAGACTTTTTTTGGTAACACTTTACAGAAGGGAGGCATTTGAGTGACATCAACATATGTTAAGAACATTTTCCTTCTCCCAAGGGTGACAGCAACGTTACGGAGATATATAACCAAACTAAGGGCAAATATTTTACATATACAAGATGCATAAGCTCAGGATAACGGTCACCATCAGGTCATGCTTGAAACAAGACTGCCGCAGAACCAAGCTCAATTAACGGAAACACGCCGAGAGCTCATCAACACCTTCAATGCACACCTTCTGTCTGTCAGTCCCTCCAGCAAGCGCCAAGAACCTAGGGGTTATTCTCAGAAAGCAGGATTTCATAGTCAGATAAGTGGAGGGAATACTCAATCTTCATCTCTAATACTGCTTTTTGAAATAACCCCCTCTAATAAGTTCACTTTAACAGAGTAAACAATACAGTCAGCGCTAGTACTCGAGCAGTGCTATTAACCGGGGATGTTTTCATTGTTCACAGAATAATTTGCATCAATATCTGACATGCAAAGTTGGGGCGAAGCATGCCTTCCGCATTAACATTGCAGCATTATCGCTGGGCTTGTTCACTCTAGCCAGGCTAATAAAAGCTAATAAAAACACAGACAGAAGCTGTACATCCCACTGCTATAAGAGTCTCCCCAGGGAGTGGGTCAGCCCGGCTGTATGTGTGGACGTTGTGGTCTGGAACACTTGCTGGTACCTCACAAGCCGTGAGGAATGCTCAAGTCAAGACTGACAAAACAGATGGGACCCCATGGGTTACAGCCTTAGAGGCAGCAGCAGCCTCCCCACCCCCTCAGTGCCTGGACACAAAAGCCTCAGCACTGTGTGTGAACTGCCTGAGAACAGGGACATCCAGGCTGTCTGAAGAGGACAACTGATAAACAATGTGGCCACTGCTTTCACACACATGAGAGAGCGCAATGAACTCTAATAACACAGCTGAGCTTTCTGCACTTGTGTAATACCCTCCATGCTGTGAGGCATGAGAACTCTCCTCTGCGAAGCATCCATGTCTCGCGCGTTTGTGTATTTCAGGCTCAAACAAGAGGAAACGAGCGAGACGGCGGCAAGTCTCGTCTACAACACTCCACTGGTTCCTCCTGGCTAAAGTCGCCCGGTCAGGTACACCCACAAGTCTACTGACTGTACCCAACAGGCTTACAACAATAACTTACAACAATAAAGGCCTATTACAGATCTCATAGCATGTTGACTAAGTCTAGTGTGAGCTGTAAAAGTAGCTACAAATGTCCAGTCCGATTCACTTCCGTTTTTATAGAGCTTTCTACATCAGACAATGTCCCAAAGCAGCTTTCCAGAAGCGCAGGTCAAGTTCCCTGATGAGAAAGTGGAAGAAGATCAGGAAAAACTGCCTAAAAGCATGAGGAAGAATCACCGAGAGGAACCTGGACTCAAAGGAAAAAACTTTCCAAGAGCCAGAGGAGGAAAAACTGAGAGGAAGTAAGACTCAAAGGAAAAACTTCCTAAGAGCCTGAGGAGGAAACACTGAGAGAAACCAATACTCAAAATAGGAACTCATCCTCTGGACAGTAGAATTATGACATGAAATTTACAAAACTCAGATCAATCAGAGCTCCTCAGATCATACAGATGGAAGATCCATGAGATAAACCAGTGACCACTGTTAAAATCGGTCAAGCATCTGGTGGATGTTGGACATGTAGCTAGCCTAAAGGAAGTTAGATGTTAGTGTGGCAGGTTCAGGACAGAAACAAAAGTGAAAATATCTACATCGTTTTTCACAGTGGTAAAGTGAGGAAAACCCTCGTACAGGGATTTTCACAGCGCATTTTCGCAAGAAACTCAGAAGTGAAAGGACAGGGACGTTTTTCACTGAGCATTCGGTGAAGTTACCTTACATTACACTGCTGAATATCTTTCACCCTCAGGTAAACTAAGCTAATTTGGTTTAGTCCGTGTAAAATTAACGCCACACGTAGTAAAAACAGACATTTCAACTAGCTTAGCATAACGGTCACTACTGCTGACAGGTTAGCGTCGCTGCTAACTGTTTAACTTCGTTTTTCTGACAGGTTTGGTTAATGTTACCGAGATTGCTGCTGTGTAGTAAAAACAATAAAGGCGTTTCTGTGAGTATTTTGCTTCACACTGCCTTACAGTTCGGCGACTAAACTGAATATTCTGAATAAAAGTGTCGAGAATATGTGACGTAGTTTTTTTAAAAACGAATATTTTGAGTAAAGCGTTGTAGCAGGTAGCTAACATGGTGGTGTTTATTCCGTAAAACAAGACTTCACACTCAAAGGGGAGCTCCACCAAATTTTCAAAAGTTCTGCATATTTAAAGGTTAGTGTGTCAGCAAAGTCATTCAGGGTGGTTTGGCGTAAAATGTTTCAATGTAGAGAAACTTAATGAGTCAGAATTGTTCACAGTGGTGGTGATAGGAACCAGACGTCTGAGGAGTCTAATGCCTCTAAAAGCTCCCTCACAGAAAGTTACTGCATAAAACGGTTATGAATACACTGATGTCTGAGACATTGTTTCGCGGTAGTTTTATGATAAAGTTTTTGGTCTAAAACGTATTTTAATCCATTTATGGTTTATGGTTGTAAGGCCCCAAAGAAAACTTCTTTTTTCAGATCGGCCACTATTTTCCATAATCAGCATTACGTATAAAAAACAAAGAAGACATGAATAGGTTCACTAGTGGTTTCGGATAGTAAATAAAATGGCTATATTTGCATTGTAGATATCGTGAGAACCTGTTATCATCACCACTTAAGTAATCCGTAAGTTGGTAAGTTTCTCTACAAATGAACCATTTCATATCAAACCTCTCGAAATGAGTTTGTTTATAGGCTCTCAACCGCTGAATGATGCAGAAATTGTGAAAGATCGGCGGAGTTCCCCTTTAAGTCAGCAAGGAAATATCAGCAATCTACCTGACGCTGAAGCTAACGGGTAAATATTTTGAATAAAAAGCGGCCGGTAGTGGGTGCCAGCTGAAATTAAAGGGCGGCTTGCACTGAATCAGTCAGTTTGCTGCCCCTTCTGTTGGATATCAGTCTCAGCAGGCTGCAGTTTACTTACCTTAAGGAGTCGCTCTCGTTTCACTAACTTACCACGGGCATCCAACCTCCTCAAACACACATTTAATTATCGCTATCGGCTTTACATACAAAGTCCAAGACAAACTGAGCTACCTAGCGGCTTAACACGAGAGCTCGCATTCATCCTAACCTCATGATACGCTAATAATGTTCATAACATTCGCGATAACTTAGCGTAGTTGTGTTAGAGTCTCTCTCTCACAGCGGGCAGCAGAACTGCAGGGGACCGTGTTCCAGTTTATTCTCATTCGGCTCGGCTGGCACACTTAAGGTAACTCAAACCAACAGAATGAAAACACGATCTAAACTGACGTTACAAACGAGCTAACATTTCCACTTTAAACCTCAACAGCTCCTCTTCCACTTCAACATCTGTGACATTTCAGAAACAGCCGTGAAATCAAAACACTAACAACTTAATTCCCGTAATATTACATTTTACATTGTTCGTATTAGATTCTTTTCATATCACAGTAACCAAAAGAAACACTTTAACACCAGCTCGCTTCCGTATATGCCCCGATATTTTGCATGTTAGTCTTTTAAAAAGCGATAATAAAGCCAAAAAAGCGTTAAGGGCAAAAAATCAACCACTTACCAAGAATTAACGTATCCGATCACCATTAGTGATATCCCCAGTAAAGGCGCAGGTGAAACAGTGTTAATCCAGAACACGACTCCGTGTGGAGAGTGTCCGTTTTTATTTATTTGATTTGTTGTATTGTGTGTGGATGATGAAGGTCCGTTCTTGTTGAAGCGCGTCCCTTGTCTGAGCCAGACTGGCTCTGTGTTCAGTGGAAAACTCCCTCCCGGCGTGTGACGCAGGCGTCAGACGTCATTTTCCCCCCACCCGTATTCCGACACGCCACGCCCCTAAAACGCTGAAGCCCCGCCCTTCTCACGCCGGGATTGGCTGGTAGTTCATTCATCACAAGAACGCCGTTGTACGTTTTTGAATATGTTTTAATTCTACAGTCTAGAACATACAATAGCGTTCTAAATCGCGTCCGCTCGTCGTGATTAAACTACTACACAATTCTAGCGCAGGAGGGCGCGGCTTAGGCGTCCCAGAACGATACTGATGTATGAATTGCTAGCCAATCGTAGCGCAGCAGGGGCAGGGCATTCCTTAATACGGGTGGGAAAAACAACGCGAGTTCTGGGGAGACTCAACCCACGCCTTTTCCTGCTTTCCGAGCATCCTCACTTCAAATCTGTGATTATGTCATTTGAATGTAATGACGACTGTGAAGTATAACTGTAGAAAATATTTTTCCTCTCTTATTTCAGACTGTTTTGAAAGGGGCGGCTGAGTTCTGCTTTGTTTTGGTCAGTGGTCAGTGTTGGAAGCGTTAATATAACAATGAAAAGTGTCTGGACTAAAACAAGGTTTTGTGATGCTGGCAAACAAATTTCAGAGAGGGAAAAAGAAAGAAAGGAAGAAGGAAAGAAGTAAAGAAAGAAAGAAAAAAGGAAGAAAGAAAGAGAAAAAGTATTAAGTGTTAGGAGTTCATGTAATAGGTGTAGTCCGACTACAGTATGTAGGCTGCTGTTGTTTCCCAGCTTCTCTGACTCAGCCTCCGTCAAACTCATGAGTCACTACACATCATGTAAAAGCTTTACATCACTTAGCACCAGTCATCTTGTTGTGTTTAGGAAATGAGCAGACTGTCTCTCAAGGCTGGTCAACTAGTCTAGGATGAGCTTTGGCAAACTAAAAGAGATATTTGGAGAGTTTGATGTTCAAATGATGTTATGAAGCATTGACTCAGCTGACCGCTAATGAACATCAACATTAAAATGTGAGCAATAACCTGCAGTCACTTCATAGACTTTAATACTGAGTTCAACCAAAATACAAGGCTTTGAGGATCTTTTATGTCATGTCGTGATAACAACACCTCTACATTATCTCTTATAAAGTGTTTCTACTGATACATTATTACCTTCCACTAATCTTTTTATTATGAGGTTTTTGTAAAACACATTAAAACAAAGCTGGAACTTACTGAGTGCAGACTGAAACAGAGCAATAGTGCCACTTCTGACACATTAAGAACCATTATTATTCCCTCTAGGCTTTGAGAGAATTCCTCCTTTCTGAGTAGAAATGACACCCTCCTGTTTCCTCCTGCTCAGTAACTGACTCTACTGCATTGCTGCCACACTCTCCCTAACAGCTTTATTTACAAACCCACACCTGTGCGGCACAGGATTCCAGCAGTGTGTTTCACTGCGGATGAGTAGAGAACCTCCTGGCTTTTGTTTTCCACAGAACAGAAAGTGAACAGGGTGTCCTGCCAGCGTAAACACAGGTGTAGAGTTTAGCTGAGTCGGGGCAGGGCCTCTAACAAACTGCTGGTTGTGTGCACAGTATGCTAATTGAGCACTGCTAATTGAGGACTGTTGTTTGAAATGGATTTGGTCTATTGGTCCTGTTGAGAGCATACCACACACTCTTAGCAAAAGGCATTGTATATTGTTACAAAATATACTGTTATATATTGTATTGTATATTGTTACAAAATATATATATTTTTTTGGCTTGTAACAATAGTGGAACACTTTTTGGTGTGATATAGAACCCTTTCACAATGTAAAGAACCCTTTAATCATGCAAAGCATTCTTTGAGAGTTCATGGTTCTTTGTTAGTATTTTCTTTACTAAAGACCCCTTGAAGAACCATCTTTTTAAGAGTGCACTCTTAAAAAGGGGGGTATTTCAAGGTTTCTTTTGTAGTTGACTGCTTAAAGCTGCACTATGTAATATTTGGGGATTTGGAGACCTCTCTGGTGGAAATGTGTAATTGCATGCAACATGTAGTAAACTATTTTTGTAGGTTGTGTTTTGGAGTCCTTCCCTGAGTGGATGAATCTGGTAATTGTGAGAGCATTGAAAGAGTATTCAAAAAGAACTCAGTCAAACCTTGGTGAAGGACGTGTCTTCTGAAGACATAATTATCTACCACTGTCATCATATCTTCATCAGTATAATGTTGATTTTTGAATTTGAGATCTAGACATTGAGCTGGACTTCTTTTTGTGTGTGTGACGATAATATGTAAAGATGCATGACATGGTCTGAGAAACTCTTGTCGAAGAACCTTTTATGTTTAAAGAACCTGCACATAATGCAAAGGTTCTTTTACCAATTTAAGTGTTTTTTTCCCAGAACCTTTACTTCACATGGAGGTTCTTTAAATCCTTAAAAGATTCTTCACACTCACAAGTCGCATTTATATATACAGTTTTTAAGGGCCTCTTAAAACTGGTTTTACATAGCACCAAAAAGCACTTTACTATATAGATACGATATAGGTGCTATAATGATAGATTTTGGTTAAGAGAACCCAGTGAACACACTTAACACACAAATCCACACTTGACTGACCAGTCTGCGAGTCGCAGTCAAAGGCCTGCTGTAGCTGTTATTCTGAGGTTAAATTGATGGTATCAGGCTAAGCTGAGCAGCCTCTCGCTGTTATTAAATGACACCATTAAGTGATGGTGTTGATGTTTACGCCAGGCGCTCTGTTCTCACCTCGGCCGCGGTGTGTTTATTTGTTTCTGTGGTGCTGATGGGATTGTAAAAACTGGCCGTGCAGACAGGCCCCGGCGTCTGAGCTTGCAGACAGTCTGTCCGTGATTAACTCGCTGTCTCCTCTGTGCTTTTAGACATTATTGATGCCTGTCTGGACGGCCAGCCACAGCAGCGTGTCACATGGCCCTGAATATTACACATTCTCCTGTTTAGTCCTCACCAGTACACCCAGTATAGCCTGTTTAGAGTGTCTGCATCCAAAGTTAGAACTATGGCTGGCATGCAGGAGTTTATTGTCATTAGAGGCTTTGGGTTCAGGTTTAAACATGTAGTTAATTTGTGACTCATAACATCAGTAGCACTTTTAGAAATTAAGGTGAGAAAAAGGGTTATTTGAATGCCGTAGAGGAACCACTCTTGGTTTCCCAAAGAAGCTTGCAGTAGATAGTTCCTGAAAGACTTTTTTGTGTAAATGAGGTGCAAAGGACAAATTAAAGGTTTTAGTTGGGCTAGGCTCTTGGAAAACTGGCAGATCTCTGACTGCTTAAAGAAAAGTCCTCCAGACAATGTTACAAAACGTAATTCATCTTGCACTTTTATAACAGTTTTAAAAGACACTGAATTCTTGCATTATCATGCACTTTCCCCCTTTAATTTAATTAAATAAAGAGACAGAAAAGGTCTCTGCTTAGGTCTTTAACCATTTTCAGTGGAGCCACCAGTGGAGTTTACAAGGCTGCATGGCAGCATTGGTCGCGTGTCATCACTTATTTTTCAGCACCAACATTATAGCATTAGCCTGCTGTTTCGGCAGATTATAGAAACTTATCTGAATTGTGAATGTAGTCTGCTAAAGTTAGTCTAGTAAAGTTTATTGTGGTAAAGAAAACAAGGTTCATTCATAATAACAGAACAATGGGACAGTCTTTAACAATTCGCCCCAGACATCTACGCCTAATGCTGTAAAAGGAAGGCCTGTGGTTAATTAGCTAATAGTTGCTGTGAAGATCTTGAGTTGTGTTTAAAATTTAAATTTTTATCTCTCTGGTTCTAGTAGCCACAATGAAGCAGGCTAGTTGGTGGTTCTTATCCTCAATTTAGCGATTAATCTGGCTAATAATGCTTCCTAGCTGGCTCCCTCAATTTGTAACCAGTAACTCCACTAACTGTGTAACCCCCACTAAAATGCTGTTCTTGCTCTGTCACTGCTGTACAGCACTGCTATTGTTAGCTCATTTGGAGAGTTAGCTTGCTGGCTAGTGACTGTTAACAAACGTTCCTAACTAACTCTTAGTGAGGCTTAGACTAGCGATATTAGGTAGGTAACGTTAGCCAGCCTACCATCAGATGATTTATTCTCTCTTTAGCTAGCTCTATCGTTAAACAACTTAGCAGCCTGGCAAACTGTGCCCATGCATTAATTAAGCCCTGATTATGGCTCCACATTTCAATGTTTGATTTTTCAACATTTTCTGCACTCTATTACCTTCCTTAGGCCCAAAAACATTCCAAGTCCAAAGGTTCTAATCCATTAGATACCTTTAGTTTTAAGTGTACGAGCAGTGGTTAACATTTGTTATTTTAAAATATGCTTTAAACTTCACTTGACTTCTGTACTATGTTCTCATATCTAACTTTTTGTATGTCCGACACAATCTGTAGATAAATCTTAACACACGTCACTGGGTTATTTCATGGATCTTGCCTTTGTCTAATCCAAATTTTGAACATTTCCTATACTGACTGCACTGTCTGGTCCAGATGAGGATGGGTTCCCCTTTTGAGTCTTGTTTCCTCTCAGTGTTCTTCCTTGTGCTCTTAGGGACTTTTTATCATACTGTCTCATTATTCCTCATAATGTGTCACTAGAGGTTTGCATTTTGGGACAATGTCTGTTACAGAAAGCCGTATACCGGTGAAATTGATTTGAGCTATATAGAGCCGTCTACATAATGTACAGTAATACATCTGCTGTGGATGTTGCTGAAGTCTTTGTGACAATACAGTCATGTAATCCTTTTAAGAAAAACCCGGGTTTACACAGAGACTCTGATACATCCTACACACTGTGATGATTTTTTTAAGGAACTGAAAACAAATCAAACAGCGATTGATCCAGTTCTATCCAGTGTAACAGGTATGGCTAATTAAACCTGAATTAAGCAAACTGCTTTTGTACACATTGCATCTTTGCCTGGAGGAGATACACGGCCTTGGACTGCTTACATGTGGACATTAGGCTGCCATGGTT